CGACTCGGAGAGAGGGTCAAACCAGGAGGCACAGCAAGGACCAATAGATAACAGACACAAAAGACATTTTTCTAGGTATTTTAGAAAGACCGCATACATATAGAAAGTCGCGGGAACCTTTCTGTTTGGGAAAGCAGATTATTTCCAGGGAAAAGCCTCAGTTTCTCCCACCCTCTCTGTCTAACTAATTCCTAGTCACTATTCCGGTCTCAAATTAGACAACCTTTCTCCAAGAGTTTTCCTCCGACTCCCCTGAGATGGGGGTAGGTGCCTCTCTGTTGAGCTCTTTACCACCAATTCTTTCCCCTGTTACAGTACATTTTATACCTCCTGGTTGCGATATCCGTTTTCCCCATCAGACGGAGGTTCAACAAGGCGAGGACAGAGCTTGCCTCGTCATTATTGTGCTCCCAGCTTTAATTCAGCATGTGCCCTGGGTGTGGAAATGAGTTTCTGCTTCAATCATCATTGGTCCATTGAGTGTTTTCTGACCCCCTCACCAGGCCACCTATTCCTCTTGCCAAAATGTGGCAACAAGGTCCTAGCACCACCAGGAATGATCAGACCAAGCCACACTGGAGGGAAATGATCCCATCCGTTATTTAGAACTTCTATGCTTTTATTACTGCCCCTTAAAATCATCCAGGTTCACTGGTCAGACTCACTGTGCAGAGCATAGTGCAGCCCGGGTGACAAAGACCTCTGGGTCCGCATTCATTCACATCTCACCCGGACCTGAGAATGCGCGGTTCATTTTACTTTATGGACTAACATGTTCGAGAACAAGCACAGCAACGTGCACTTTAGCCTTGTTTTAAAATGTATATGGTACCTGGACGGTGTAGGTGCTCCTGTGATTACAGAGAAGCGGGTATTGGGCAGTGCTCCTGTGAATTCCCATATCACATTCCGCTTAACTAGAGCTCGCCTTTGGCGGAAGAGTTTCTGTTTAGCACTTGGCAAAAAGCCTTTGTTTAATTCCACTGTATTCTATTTGGAAAAGGAAAAACAACTGCACGTGACACTAAATTCCTTTCAGAGAATTGAGTATTTCTTCAGAGATTTGTATGTTCCCGTGTTGTAGGGGAAGCAGCAGAAAGAGGCTGTAGAAATAACGGAGTATTTGGAATCAGTTAAATTTGGGATTGAGTCTCTTTTCTGTGGCTGGGCAGATTATGACAGTGGAGAAGTAACTAAGAAGTAACACTGAGCAGCAGTTGCCTAAAGTGGGAAGGGGGGACAGAGTTACTCCTTTCACAAAATTAAACTACATGCACGTCTAAAATCTCATTGGGCATATAGTTCCACAATTACTGCGCGAGGCTCATAGAGGCACAAAATCAGTCCTTGTTCTTGATTTGCTGTTGTTTCCTGCTGGATACAACCTGTCCATCTGGTACCCTGGTTGACCTTGGAGCCTAGTAAGTCCTGCCACTGAAACTTGCATTGAATAAAGAGCACTTCCTGTGGTCGCCAAAGTGTAAAAGAAGTAGAGATGACAGCTATCTCTGAACCTTGAGATTTGGGGGGTTCATTGGACCTGTCTCAGATTGCAAAGTGTGTGTGTGTGTATGTGTGTGTGTGTGTGTGTGTGTGTGTGTAATAGCCACGGCTTTGTAGACAGCCACAGGACCCTCTTTGTGAATAGGTGTAGGTGTGTGGGACGGGGTGGGGGGGGGTAGTAGTAATAGGGTGGAGTTATAGGGTAGTAATTATAAGGAGGACTGTTTCCTATGAAGTGATCCTCTGAACAGCTCACTCTGTAACCAGCGGTGGGAGCTTAGAGCCCCCTAGTGTCCCTTACACATAGCCCATGGTGTTGTGAGGCACTACATGGGCTGGCTGGTACATCTATAGGCACATGCTGCCATCTCCTGGTGGGAGTCACACTTAGCAAATCCCAGATGTTCTCTGTTCTAGGAGGGAAGCTACAAAGACTGGGCCTCTCTCACGGGAATCCCTGGAGACCCAGAGTCAGCTTTTGGAAGGCATGAAAATACAAAGGGAAAAACAAGCTGACTGTCCCCAAAGCCCGTAATTCCCTTAAGACATAATTTGGGCTCATTATCCTCTACACATATCTCTACCATTGCACTTTGCAAACTGGTCTGTGCTGGTAGTTTTCTTTCTGGTCTTCGAAGCATCAGTATTGTTGTTGTTGTTAGGAATTAAGCAACTTTGCCAGAAAGTAATTTTTTTTTAAGTTCTTTCTACACTGAAACAGGTGATCAAAAATACTAGCAAATAGCCTGTAATAGAACAGGTATTTTTTTACATAGTAATTCCTTTTCTAACTGCTCCCAACATACCACAACCCAACCAAGCCTTTTACGGTAACCTCACTGCACACATCTGCAGCTGCACAATCATCAGCCAAGGCCTCACCTGTTTGATTACCTCTGCTGAGAGCTCTCATTACCCAATATGGCTGCTGACCCTACTGTTGGATAACCGTATTTGCTAGCAAGTCCTCATTTGTCTCACTGGTTCCTCTTTTCACATGATATCTGTTCAGATATGCAAAGGGGATTTTAGTATCAAGTCTCCGTTCATCGAAATATTCTTAGGTTTTTTCAGACTTAGCGCTCACGACATGCGTTTCAAAATCTTTATCATACTTCCCCTACTTATTTGGACGTGCTTCATTTTATAATATCCATCTCCGCCTGAGTTTACCAGGGTTTTACAAAATGCCTGAGCAGTGCTAAATCAGCACAACCTTGATCTCCTTGTTCTGAACACTAGAGTTGCATCAATGTGCTTTAAGAGGCATAGATATGATTTTAAAGGATTAATAAACATGTTTGCACAATGGCATCTAGATCTTTTTCACAGAAACTCCTGCCAAATTTTCTATATACAGACCCTGGTCTTTTAGCATCTATCAATTATTCACATTCATACGACTGAAATAGGAATTTTAGGGGGATATAGGCAGGCTTAGGGAATTTTTAGAATTGGGGGTTCATGGAAAAAAACACAGGGCTACAGACTGGGAGAAGTTACATTTCCATAAGAATGCTGGGAGAAGGTACATTTCCATAACACAAGGGAGCCAACAGTTATATTTACATAAGACAAGGGAACCAGGAGTAGCCAAAAGGTCTATATTTACAAAATAAAGGGGAAAGAAAGCCCAGAAGGAATAGGAGGACAATGGGGGAGGAGGACAATGAAGGAGGAAGGCCTTGGGAGTTACTGTAGAAACCAATTCAAAAGGAGATATTGACCAATCAGAAGGGATATTGGGACATAGGGACTTGCAGCCTTTATAAACCATGGAAACAGGAAGTCAATGGGACTCTTCCCCCCTCTCCACATGGGAGTCTGTGCTGTGAGATTCTTTCCCCTTCACCACGTGGGAGTCTGTACTTGTTCTTCAATAAATCTCCACCTTTGCTATACCATCTTCAGTCCGTGGATTCATTCTTCGACTCCAAGAGACAAAGAATCCAGGGAACACCACGTGTTCCAGTCCAAAATCATGTACCACCACAAGGTTGGTTCTGCCTCTGTTTTCAGACTTTCCATATACTCGTCCTCTCTCAATTGTGACAGTTTAAGGCTGTGTAGTTCCTGTTTGCTATCCTTGAACTATGGGAACTGCTGACTTGAACACATGCCCCTCATTGGTCACAACAGTGACTCATTTTATTTGATTTTTTTTTTTTTTTAAGAGAGAGAGGAAGAAAGAGAGGGAGGGAGGGACGGAGGGGGAGCGGGAAGGGGAAAGGAAAGAGGGAAGGAGAGAACATTGACTTGTTGTTCCACTTATTTATGCACTCACTGATTTGCTTCCTGTATGTGCCCTGATGGGGGAGCAATCCTGCAACCTTGGCATTGTAGACAATGCTCCAACCAAATGAGCCTACCCAGCCAGGGCCTTGAGTCATTTTATTTTAAATGTTTAAAAAATAAACTCATTTTTACTTACATTTATTTAAAGGATTGTTTTTATTACTATCATATATGAAAGTAATGGCACCCCTTGTCTTTAGAGGAAAATGCAAAAGTAAATAGAAGGAAAACTAAACAACACATTAAGTTATAGAAAAATATAGTTGCTTGTCAAAGGTTTTATTGAAAGCAGGTGTGGGGAGGGGAGGAGGGCACAATTAGAAGTTTTAGGAATTATTTAAAACTAGAGGCCCAGTGCACCAAATTCATGTACAGGTAGGGTCCCTAGAGGCTGCCGGCTGCGGCTGCCAGCCAGGCCCTCCCTTCCCCCAGCTGCCTGCCACTGACACCCCAAGGTGATCAGCGCATGTCTAACTCCCAGTTGGTAGAACTCCCGCCCATGGGAAAAATTTGCATATTAGCTTTCTATTATATAGGATAAGAGGGTTGTTGTATTTTTGTTTTTTGTTTTCAGGGGAGAATGGGGCATTATTGCTTATAGGGTAGAGTTTGTATTTGGGGTGATGAGAAAGTCTTGAATACAGATAGAGGTAATGGTTACACAACATTGCAAATGTACTTACTACTGAATGGTACACTTAAAATGGTAAATTTTATGTTATGTGTATTTTACTAATAAAAACAGGAATTTCTGCCTCAAGGACCTAGAACCCATCACTTTAAAATGTAACCATCAAGCCCCTGTCATCCAGTTTCGGGAGGACAGCAGCCTCACTTGGCAGGTGCCTTGCTCCAAAACTACCTCCTGTCATTTAATTTTCCTTTGGATAAAACCAACTGGCTATCACAAGGTCACCCTAATTACCAAATGAACTTCGGGTGACGTGTGTGTGACAAAGTCCGCTGTTTGAGGACTAGTTACTGCCTACCAGTGGCTGTATCTGCTTGGCTATGTATAAGGGTGAGATTCCTTTGTCTCTTTTTTAGTGAGTGGCCTGAGATGTGCATCTCATTCTAGTTTAACGCCTATTCAATAATAAAACCGTCTTCTCTCTCTGCTACATTGTGTGCAGAGGTTTTCTGGGTTGGCAGGAGATTTTGCTTTGCTTATATTTCCCCAACAAGGTCACACAGTGAACCAGGGCTGAGTCAAAAAAGGAACCACCTGATTTCCGGCCTGGCACTTTCCCCTGGCCTCACTGCCCCTTAGGAATAAAGGGGGGCATAACATGCCACCCCAAAATATGCTTCCTTGGCCTACTGGTTATTTTGAGATGGTTATTTCTAAGAAACAGCAGACATGGGAGAAGCTCTGACAACTGAGTAGAAGGTACCCTTTTGTAAGAGACACATTTATAATGAAAATGTCGCCATTGCAAGGGTCTCTGCCTCTGTACCAGGAAGAGGAAGTGACTAAATCTTTTTATCAATGGAGAAATCGACTTAAATCTGCATAACAACCTCACCCTTGTTAGCTGGGCTTTTCTTGGTAATACCTGTAACTGGCCTTCCCTTCCCCCAATGTCTTCTTTCCTCTTTAAATAGGGATGTTATTTAAAGTGGTGGCTTGGGCTATGTGGGAGAGTTACTCAGTTTTCTTGGGTATGTGCCATGTATTCAGCAGGTATACATGTCATTAAACTTCTCTTTATTTTTCTCCTGTTAATCTGTCTTTTTTTAAGAAGGTGGGGGAACGAGTCTCAGCCAAGAACCTAGAAGGGTAAAATGAAAATTCTCTTTCCTTCCCTACAAGAGCATACTGTTTCAGCATGGGCCTCCCTGAGACCTGCCACTTTGGCATCTGAATTATTTTGAGCTGAAGGGAATGGAGCCTCTGCAGGCTCAGAGGAGCTTTGACTTCTACTTTAAAGAAAATGTACTTATCATTACCCAGGAAGTAGTAATTTCATTATTTACATTTTATTAGAGACTCCTACATTATATCTTTAAGAAGCATTATATCTCGATAAAGGATGCATGTGTTATAGGCAACCAAAGGGAGTAAGCTTCTCATTGGCATAAACAGCTCTTCTATGCAAAGGGAACGGAAGAGATGGTTTCATGCCCTTAGTCTCTGTAGGGCACTTCAAAATGCATGGGAATAATCAACACTCAAAAGAATTACATCTTTGGCAATGAGAGGTTTTAGAGCCTTGCAAACTGCTACTGGAGCTTATTATTTATGAGCTCTTTGCTCTTTAAAATGGAGAACAGAGCAATTAGCTACAATTTCACACCTTCAAGAAGACTAAGAACACAGCCTGCCATCTATTGTAAATTCCAAAGTGTGTTCTTTCACTTAAATTTATAGTTCCATTGTGTGGAAATTTCCCTCTTATTCAAAAGAAAGTTTGAAAGTGAATCTTTTATTTGGTTCCCTGAAAATGGGCACTGCATAGCAATTTTGTTCCTGAGAAAATAAGCTTAATAGGCCCATCGTAAAAATAATAGCAAGGCCGGTATTTAAGAACATGATGCCCTCAGGCAGACCACACCACGCGGGACAATAGGCCCCTTGGTTTGTTCACTGACTGCAGTGGCCGGGATTTTGGAATCTTGATGACAGTCTGCATATCAGTTATATATATATATATTTATGGCTAATATGCAAAGTGTCCCCTCGGGAGTTCTACCAGGAGAATGGGCGTTCAATCGCTCGCTATGATGTACGCTGACCACCAGGAGGCGGCATGGAACATGGTGGGCAACCAGCAGCAGAGGCAGGGCACTGAGGGAGCGAGGGAAGGAGGTGGCGGGGAGGCAGGGAGGTGGGAAACCTGATCAGCCCTGATCACCAGCCAGGCATAGGGACCCTACTCACGCATAAATTTCATGCACCAGGCCTCTAGTAGTAAAATAAACATACATCAATCAGAATAAATATTTTTATCTTACGGGGCGAGTTTTATTTCTGATAATAACCAATAGTCATTTGGTGCCAAGTAAGATGAATTAAGAGGGTAACAAGCTGGGTAATACTGGCTTGTGTCAAAACAAACTATCAGTTTGCAGCAATCATTCTATTCTCAAGATTAGTGCGTGCTTGCCTCTCCCTTGCTCACCATATTCCTTCCTTTCCCAGCCTGCAAAATAATGGCCATTCTTCAAGTGTCAGTTCAAATTCTACTGCCTCCATTAACATGTTAATCCTCCCAAACAAATGTTATCACTCTCTCTTCTGAATTCTCCCCTCTCAGGTGTTTTTCATTTTTCTTGCCCCAACATTTTTCCTATATTGCAGTTGTTAAGCTAAATATGTCTTCCTACGGATCCCATTTCAAAACTTTGAGAGGAAGGACAGTGTCTTCTTCACTGGATGTCTTGCATAGCAGGTGTTCTAACAATTGTATAAAGCTAGTGAATTACTGTGTAAAGGAGGATTTCGAGACAGCACACTGTCAAAAGAACTCAAGAACAAGGAGGAGCCTAAGAGATTGGAAGACATGAAGGGCTAACTTAGAAAAATACATTTTGAGATTGAAAGTAGGTAAAACAAATAATTATAGAAATATGCTTTTGATGACAACTCTATCCACAATATTGACCTATCCTGCATACCTTATCCCCCAACTATTATAGTAAATTCTCCATGTAATTGGAAACATTTTTGTTATAGTTATTAATTTTAACATTTTTACACATATATATGAATTACAGCTTATGCAGTTCATAATATTTTAACTTATTACTCATTTCCGTTTTCTTCTTAAAAGCATAGAGATCCAAACTAGAAAATAGTTCCATCTCCATTACATTACCAATTCCTGAATCCTGCTTGTTGTACTATCACACAATGTCTCATGTAATATTATTGATATATTATTTCATCATAATACATCAATAAATCCAAATTTTTTTAATTCATTGAAGTTCAAAAGAATCATGTTAAAGATTAAAAATAAAATGAGTTGGCAGGCTGGAGTGGCTCAGTGGTTGAGCGTTGACCCATGAACCAGCAGGTCTCGGTTCAATTCCTGGTCAGGGCACATGCCCAGGTTTCAGGCTTAATTCCCAGTAGGGGGCATGTAGGAGGCAGCTGATTGATGATTCTCTCTCATCATTGATGTTTCTATCTCTCTCACCCTCTGCCTTCCTCTCTCTGAAAATCTATTTAAAAAACGTATTTTTAAAGTAGGAAATTAAAAAATAAAATGAGTTGAAATCTGTTTCTACCACTTAACCTTAGTCTATGTCATTTCAAAGTCAATGTCATTTCCTTCAGTGTGTCAGCCCTATGACAATGTCAGTTCTTTTCCATTGGATGGCCTAAGATTGTTTAAATCATTAAAGTCGATATCTATTAATGATATACAATAAAAGTTAATATTTTATTCGATAATGCATATTCATTCAATAATTTGTATTGAATAGCAGACGTAATACCAATTAGCAAAGAAGAAATGGAATTACCATATTGACCCATTTTCAAACAGTTGACTATGACTTACAAGACCCTATACAATTCAAACTACATATTCCCTGGGTTCAATTCTGCCTCTCAGCACACTGGTCCATTTTCAGTTACCAAATATGCTAACGCTTCAGCCAGCTCCAGACTTTTGCTTACGTCCTTCCCTTTTCCTAGGACGATACTGCCAATTTTTCCCTTGATGAATTAGTAATTTCACTGAGTGTGATTTAAAGACTAATTCCTAGCCCTAGCCAGTTTGGCTCAGTGGCTAGAGCGTTGGCCTGCAGACTGAAGGATCCCAGATTCAATTCTGGTCAAGGGCACATACATCAGTTGCAGGCTTCTCCCTGGCCCGAGCCCTGGTCAGGGCGCATGCAAGAGGCAACCAACGGATGTGTTTCTCTCACATTGGTATTTTCTCCCTCTCTCTTCCAGTTTCTCTAAAAACCAATGGAAAAACATCCTCGGGTGAGGATAAATAAAATACTAATTTACTGAGGGATTTGCTATAACATTTTCTGAAAAAGAACCCAACTAAATTATTCTCTATCATAACATTCATTAAATATATTTATTTTAATATAAATTAAAATTTTCATTTGTTCACTGACTGAATCCCAGATTGAGTTCGTAGGGCAGTGGTCATGTTTGTTTTGTTTTTATTACTAACTTGTAACTAAGCATAATATAGAGCCTGAAATGCACAGTGGCCAGGAGGGCATTTAGAAATGGAATAAAGGGAATGACTGAATATCTCATTAATCAAACCCAATATTTTACCAATAATTCTTTATAAAATTTCACCTTGCCCTCTTGTTCTTTCCTGAGCAAACATTTTAATTTCATTTTGTAGAGTTTTGTGTTATCGTTCACCCAAATGATCAGCCTGTCTAAAGCACATTTTAGGAAATGAAGGCAAAGCCATCTCCAGGACGGGACTCATCACAGTTTCCTGCAAACAGCACTGACGATATATCTCTTTTAAAGAAATGAGAGAGCGAAACTGCCAGCTAAACATCTATTCCAAAAGACAATTTCATTGTGGAATGCTGGAGATCTTTCTTGTTTATTAACCCACATGAAAAAGGCTGTGAGCAGCTCCAATGGCCTAAGAGCTGCACAGCTGCAGAGCAAGAGTGACTGGACCAGGCTGTGTGGCCTCTCTCTCTCTGTCCCTCTCCACTCTCCCTCATCATGTTCCCAGCCCAGGAAGCCTCCTTGCCATGGTCCTCAGTGGCCTATGCGGTGACGATCACTTCCCTGCACACGCACAGAGCCGCTCCTGTGCATTTACAGTGGAAACCACTGAACAATGGTTTCTGCTTTTGTAAACATCCAGGGGAAGCTGATGAGAAACTGTCAAGAACCTTAACAACCGAGTCTGACAATTCTTCTCATTATATAAATACCAGTCAAAAAGTTATATTTTGAGGCTATCCTATCTAATAATATAGAAACATGGTAATTAGCCATAACTTCGCTACCCTTCCCATTGGCTAATCAGTGAGATATGCAAATTAACTGCCAGCCAAGATGGCAGCCAGCAGCCAGGCAGCTGAAGCGAACATGAACATGAGGCTTGCTTACTCCAGTGATGGAGGAAGTCAACCTTCCCCGCCTGCCGCAGCTCAGCTCTGAGCTCTGGATGAAACAATATTGCAATTATAGAACCTAAACAAACCCCAGAAACCTGCTTTCAGAGAGCGCGGCCTCAGAGCTTAGAGCGGCCAGTGATGGCAACAGAGTTTCAATTATAGAATCTAAACAAACCCAGGTACCTGCTTTCAGCCAGCAACAGCCTCAGAGCTGGAGCCTGCTCTCAGCTCCAGTGACAGCTATAGAAGGTAAATTAATCCCAGAATAAAAAAAAGAAAAGAAAAAAGGAGAGGCTGGGAGCTTCAGTCGCCCATCAGCCTGAAAACAGCCCTCAGCCCCTCACCCAGACTGGCCAGGAACCCCAGTGGGGACCCCCACCCTGAAGGAAGTGTGACCAGCTGAAGACAGCCATCATCCCACTGACCCTAACAGCAGAAGGACTGGGAATGACTAGTCACTATGACACACACTGACCACCAGGGGGCAGACGCTCAATGCAGGAACTGCCCTCTGGTGGTAAAGTCACTCCCACATGGGAGGAGCTCTGCTCAGCCACAAGCCAGGCTGATGGCTGCCAGTAGAGCAGTGGTGGTGGGAGCCTCTCCTACCTCCTCAGCAGCGCTAAGGATTTCTGACTGCAGTTTAGGCCTGCGCCCCACTGGCAAGTGGACATTCCGTGAGGGCTGCCAGGCTGCCAGAGGGATGTCTGATTGCCATCTTAGGCCCAATCCCCTGGGGAATGGGCCTAAGACAGCAGGTGGTCATCCCCTGAGGGGTCCCACTCTGCGAGAGGGCACAGGCCAGGCTGAGAGACCGCCCATCCCCCCTGAGTGCACAAATTTTTGTGCACCGGGCCTCTAGTTTCTATATAATATTCCTATGACTAAGAAAGAAATCCAGGCATTCTGGCATCATATATACACACACACACACACACTACACACACACACACACACACACACATTCCTGATCTGACAAACTTTGTTTCAACCTAAGAATTCTACTCTTTATTTTCAAATAAATCAGACTAGTTATAACAACTGACTATATTTATGACCTATCTCCTAGGTTCAGAGATTAAGTGTCTGCCTTCTAGAGCTCATGAATGAGTATGACAGAAAATGATGGTGTATAAATACCCAGAGAGCATTTAATTTTAATCTTGTATAAATATATAATACTTGGAGTAAAGCTGGACATAAATGCAATTATACTAGGGAAAATATATTGAAGAGAATTTCATTTTAATGTATATTGGTTCCTATTTAAGTTATACTTGTGTTAAAAAGTAATACTGACATATTTATTCATATTATTAATAGACCATTTTCTTTGTTCCTATCATGATCCAAGGATCATAAAATCCAATCTGTCCAAATGGATGTATGAACAGATCAACCTGCAATCCTAATGTTACAAATGCAAGAAGTGAACATGCATCTTGCATTCAATTTGTGCATAACCAGGCCTGGGCAGAGGCCCCTATCATGCTGACAGTCTCAGATATTCTTTAATTCGAGCACATGGAATAAGATGAGGAAGTACAACTTCAGACAGCCCCACCAGTCACAAATGTGATTTATGGGATGTGAGCTGCTCTCTGGAGGGACTAATGTGAAAAGCCTAAGGAATCCTAATCCGCTCCAGGGTCTCAGCTGAAATGCTGGCTCAGAGCTTTACCTCTCATTGTTCACCTGATGCCCATGTGTAATGCCTGCCCAGTGGTCTGCAGGGAAATTGTAGGGCTTTTCTATTAGGTGTTTAAACTTACATTTTCCTAAACAAGAAAAAAGTAATCCCAACTTTTTTCCCATCAGTGCTTAAATTTCTAATTGTGGTGACTTGGTATTCTCCAAAGGAAGCACATTTACACTCATCCTAGCATTACGCTGTGGAATATGCAGAGTCTGAAATCCATAAACTAGAATTCCTATTTTAGTCCCATAACCAAGGTTTCTGGGCATAGACAAGTCACATCTCTTCACTAAGTTTCAGCTTTATCTCTAAAATGGAATACACACACACACACTATACTATATGCCAAAAAGTGTATCACTTGAATAGACTGAGATAACCTAAAGATTTGTATTACCCTAAGCAAGCCCTAAAATTACAAATCATTGTAGCTAATAAACTGGCAATGGAGATTACATGGAGTAAAGAAATACATTATACAAAGAAGTTACCAAGAGAAAAAAATAAGCAAATACCAGAGGAGACTAATGAAAAACAAAAACAGAATAAGATGGTGAATTTAAACCCAACCAAAAAGAATCACATGAAATGTAAATAGTCTAAACATGCTTTTGAAGACAGGGACTGTCAAATTGGACAAAAAACAACACCCAACTTTAAGATGCCTACAAGAAAGGAGGGATCCAACCCAAGGCCCTTCAGTCCACATACTGATGCTCTATCCATTGAGCCAAACCAGCTAGAGTGAAAAAAATACTTAAACTTTTACATCAAGTGGCTGCCTAAGGGATTCCACAATCCTCAGCTGCACCATTTGAATACCCATAGCACGTCTCCTCCTGCCCTACCCCATAGAGAGAAGCAGGATCTAGATGGTGAGAAAGTGTGTCTTATGTTGGGTCTGGAAAGATGCTATAATGAGAAGTATAACGTAGGGAAAAAAAGAAATTTTATAGTCATGCACGTTGTCATAGTCTCTTCAGGCTGCTTTAACAAAATACCACAGACTGCGTGGCGTAAACAACAGAAGTATATCTCTCACAGTTCTGGAGGTTGGAGGGTGTCAGCTTGGTCGGGTTCTTGGAGAATCTTCCTCCAAGTGGCAAACTGCTGAACTTTCAACCCTGCCCTCACATGGTGGGAGGGGCTAGGTAGCTGGGGTCTCTATTATAAAGGCAATAATCTCATTCATGAAGGCTCTGTCCCCATGATTTAATCACCACCGAAAGGCCCCCCACCTCCTAATACCAACACCTTGGGGGTTACATTTCAATAAATGGACTTGGGGGACACAAACATTCAGATCATTACAGACATAATGGCTGAAAATTACATGTTAATGACAATGATTAATGTGACTTAAAGACTTTTCTAGGAAATCAAAATATTATTTGATGATGATAACCCATGTCTATATTTGTTTTTTTAAATGTTTAAATAGAGAGTATTTTTCTGATCAATTATTCTCATGGCCAAGTATTAGGAACTAGAGCCCCAATGCATGAAATTCATGCACAGGTAGGGTCCCCAGCAGCTGCTGGCCAGGGCCTCCCTTCCCTCAGCCGCCTGCCACCGCTGCCACTGGCCAGGATGGGGCCAGCCAGAGGGAGGGGCTGTGGGCAGTTGGCCGGCTGGCCCTGCCCCCTGGTCAAACTCCTGGTCAGGGGGACAATTATGACATCTTCATGAACCATGTTCACCACTCTCAGGACTAGTGACTTAAGATTTCATCCGTTTGTGGGTTTAATATTATACCCTGGTTATGTTTCTCCACAGCTGTATTTTGCCTTAAGTCTTAGTCCTCTCGTTTTGGTGAAGGTCACCCTCATGTAACAAAGCATGGAAAGGTGGAAACCCTGTCTCTAATAATAAACGGAGCCTGTTTTATGGCTTAGAAATCTGCTGAGACTCTACCCAGACCTGAGGCCTCTGAGGCCCCGCAGGAGCTCAAAGACCACAAATGTGGTCCCCTTATCACAGAGATCACCACTCTGAACCAAGGGCAGTGGGGATCCTCAGGAGACAGCTTTGTCTAATGTTGGTCCCTGGCAGAAGCCAGACTTGAATGAAAAGCATGGAAGAGAACCTATTCACCCAAAAAACAGAGCCACTTCTTTCCATCAGTGCAAATAATCAGACTGTGTCCTGGCACCTTGAGTAAGTGTCAGTTAACTCCTCAACCCTGATAATGAAGGGAATGATTGAAACTTTAAAGAGGCTGCCAACTTCCAGCCTCAACACTCAGCTGTGGCATCTCCTGGCTCACATAGGAGTTCATAACAAGGGACTTACACATGTGCATGTCTAATATGCATGGTTTATGTGCAGGGAGGGGCAAAAGTAGGTTTATAATTGTTCTTTCATATGGAAAATAATATAATAATACAAGAATAAACTGCATTTTGCATACTCACAACTGTAAACCTACTTTTGCCTCACCCTGTATATACGTACATTTCCTAAGTAACCGCTCAGTATTTGGAAGTCAATAAACTAGGAATCTTTTTAATGGCATGTGGAGAAAAACATTAATTTATTTCCCTAGAACTGGAACTGCCAGTTCAATCTGAATAATCAGAGATATAACTCTTGGTCTGCAAATTCATATACATTTGTAGGCTGCTAATATGCCAAAGGGAATTGAGGTCCCATATTCTAAATGGCACATATTGTTAAAAGACTTGTAGCAACTAATTATTGTTTTTGGTACAGAATAAACAACAAAAAACTAAAGAAGAACTGAATTCTCCAAAGTGACTAGATTCTATGAAAAATCTAACATGACTGACTATAAGACAAAATATTTTTATGCAATGCTTGTTCTTATCTAACATTGATACTTCCCTGAGAAATTTGCCTTTTCTTCTAATTGAATGATTAAATATATAATGCTTTTCAGAATTACCAATATTTATGGCATCATCAAGAATTATGACTCAACTTCCTTTCTAGATAATGGGGAATTTTAAAAATTGGCTTATTCATGTCTGGTCATTCATATCAAGATGTAATTGCCTTGCTAAAATCCCACAAATGTAAAAATCTGCTTCCAGTTCTTCTTTTGATTGCAAAAAATGGCTAATATTAGGAACAGTAAAAATATCACAGAAAGAGTATGCCAGTGAAAGACTGAGAGAAGAGACATTCTCTGACAAAAATATAAGCCATGAAATGCTGTGATTAAAAACAAAACTAAATTTTAAAAAACCAATATGTCTAGTGATTCTTGCAAAAATAAAAACATGCGCCTACATTATCATCATGGGTTGAAACAAAACACTGAAATGGTTAACAGGTGGTTGAGATAGAAAACAGAAAACTTAGTATTTATCAAGAAAAATATTACCATGCTTCTCTTCTATTTTAGCAAAATAGTATCTTCAAATAAAATCTTCTATGGCAATCAGCTGGAATGGGTAGAAATGCCCTGACTGATTGGGGCAGGGTAGTGCTGGGTGGAGGCGCTGGATTTCTAGATACTGGACTCCCCCTTATCCTTCTAGGTTGCCCCCAAACAATTCCAGTTTTTAAACAGTGTTCTATGATCAGGATAATAGATGGAATAACCAACATTGATTATTCACCACAAGCAACCCTGAGAAAAACATCCAAGTGAAAAACACAACTTTAAGGTCCTTCCATATCTGTTTATACATTCTCCTCTCTTATTCTCCCACTGCTCCTATCTGCAATGGTGCTGACTCCTGCCCCAGCCCACCAATATATCACCTACGTACCTGCTCACCCCACAAGGCAGATATTGTGGAGGTCGTTATTAACACCTTTCAATGCAGTAAAAGCTGATTGGATGGCTACTTGTTATAAGGTAATATATTCGACACCATGGAAGAAACTATAAGAACTAGACACCATAAAACCCACTCCATTTAGCCTAAGGCCAGCACCGCTACTTTTTACTGCCCTTTATTACCTCCATAAAAAGGAAAGATGTTCTCTAATAATAACACCTATTCTTTAATGAGAATCTACTATGAACTCTCTCATACGCTCTTAGTTGAAGTACAAATTGATACAATCACTTTGGGAACCTGTTAGACAATAGTATATACTAAAGCCTAACATATACATAACCTGTGATCCAGAAACTCCACTCTTGGGGTAGGTGGGTGAATGTGTGCATGTGTATGTGTGTGTGTGTGTGTGTGTGTGTATGCATGCACACACGCGCGTGCAAAGTGAATGGATACAATCAAAGGCACCTGTCCAAGAATGTTGATATATGCACTGATCATAACAGAAAAAAAATGATACAAACCAAATGTCCATAAACATTACAATGGGTAAATAGATTGTCACATATTCATACAATGGAATACTACCCACCAATAAGAATAGATAAACTACAACTACTTATAGTAAAGATTAATCATGCAAATATAATTCTAAAGGAAGGAAGCCAGATGAGCCCCCCTTCCCTAGCTTCCCCCAAAAAATAAATAAAAATTCATCTATGGCATTAAAGTCAAGATACTGCCTTGGCCAGTGTGTCTCAGTGGTTAGTGCGTCAATCTGCATACCTAAGGGTTATGGGTTCAATTCTAGTCAAGGGCATGGGCCTGGGTTGCAGGTGTTTTTGTTTGTTTGTTTTCATATATTTTTATTGATTTCAGAAAGGAAGAGGGAGCGAGAGACAGAAATGATGAGAGAAAATCATTGATCAGCTACTTCTTGCACACCCCCTACTGGGGATTGAGCCCGCAACCCGGGCATGTGCCCTTGACCAGAATAAACCTGGGACCCTTCAGTCCACAGGCCAACACCTATCTACTAAGCCAAACCAGCTAGGGCTGGGTTGCAGGTTTGATCCCCAGCCCCAGTCAGGGCACATATGGGAAGCAACCACTGAATGTATCTCTCTCACATTGATGTTTTTCTCTCCCCCCCACCCCTCTCCTTTAAATTTAAAAAAAAAAAAGTCATCAAGATACTGGTTACCCAGTCTCTATACTGAAAGGGGTCATAGAGTATTACAGATGTCCTAGTAGGGCTTGTTTCTTCATGTGAGAATTGAGCACTCTCATTTCATTTGTCAAAATTCATGCCACTATACATTCATGATTTCTGCACATCTTCTCCCAAAACAAAGAATCAATTTAAAAGCTCACCACATTG